ATATATCTTAGATAACAAATACCTAACCATTCAGGTAAGATTTTTCTAAATAAGTTTAGTTTTAAGGCTTTTTATTTTTTGAAACACAGTGTCACTAACTTAGCCAGTTTGGCCTTGAATTTACAATACTCTTGCCTCAACCTCACAAACAAAATCCTCCTATAACTCCACAGCAACAGGGGCACATGCCTAGATTTTTTTTTTAAAGAAAACTCAACAGGAAATATAAAACATGTATTTTTTATCTCTACCCTAACTCTTTTTTTCCCACATAGTAGAGGAATGTTCTACATCAACTTTACATTTATGATGATCTGAAACCTACCATCACCAAACACAAATTTCTTGAATAGTCCTTAACTTTCATATAAATGGGATTATTATTTAGCCCCTGACTGCTAAATCTTAAGGAACTTATTAACTTTCAAATTAACTTATTAGCCTTTAAGAACTGATAGTATGAGGTATTTTAAAAGATTTTTATTTTTACTTGTGTATATATTTGTATCAACATATGCCACACGTGTGGGTGCCCTTGGAAGCCAGAAGAGGAAGTTAGATTCCCTGGCGCTGGAGTGGGTTGTAAGTCGAAAAAAATGCATGTTAGGAATCGAACTAGGGTCTTGTGGAAGAGCAGTACATGCTCTTAATTACTGAGTTATCTCACCAGTCCTAGTATGAGGCATTTTAAAAGGAAAATAAGCTGATAGGTCACAAAACATATACTATTTGTAAAGCATTCCTTTTTGTGAAAAACATTACTCTCCTTAAATGACAAACTTAAAGCTTTTTGTGTTTGTGACACACATCTGTGGTATATAGGCATGTTCATGAGGGTATCTGCACACACACATGCAGGTGCATGTACGTGTGTGTGTGAAGGCCAGAGGTCCATATCAACTGCTTTTTAAAAACATTTTATGTATAAGAATGCTTTGCCCGCATGCAAGTGTACCACGTGCACATCTGTTGCCTGCCAAGTCCACAAGAGGGCATTGAATCCCCTGGAAGTAGAGTCACAGAGGGCTGTGGGCTGCCATGTGGGTGCTGGTAACCAAACTCAGGTCCTCAGCAAGAGCAGCCAATGCTCTTAACCACTGAGCCATCTCTCCAGATCCCCAAATCAGGTGTCTTCCTCTCTACTTTATTTTCTGAGACACATCTCTCAATGGACCTGGAACTCACCAATTTGGTTAGACTGGCTGGCCTCCTGGGATCCACCTGTCTCAGACCAGTCTTGTGTCCTGATCCTTCCCCCTTTTCCCTTCCCCAGTGCTGGGGTTACAGATGTATGCTACCATACTTGGCTTTTTATGTCAGTATTGGGTATCCAAACCCAGGTCCTCATGCCTATATGGCAAACACTTTACCAACTGAACCATCTCCCTAGCCCTTAAAAGCTTTTCTTTTTCTTTTTCTCTTTTTCTTGTGGAATGATGTATATCTGGGTGCTAAAATGAGAAAGTAAAGCAGTAAATTGATTACCAAAAATTCTATGTGGTGGAGATTAACTGCTGAATTTTCGGTAATCGATGCATCACTTCTGCTCCACAAGTAATATTCTAAGACTCTGGAATGCTTGTAGCTTTCTCCTCTCAGTCTGCAATGCAGGTTGTGAGGTTCATTTCAATGAAATTGCTTATTTTTGTTTTATACGTTTTCCTGGATATTAAATATCCGAACAAAAAATTTACGAACAGCAGCCAATGCAAACCATAATAAACCTAACTTCAATTCTCACAAGTCTATGGAAATGGTTCTCAGACATTTCCCCGCAAGAAGCCCATTAAATAGTTGGAACAATATTCATATTGTTTGTCCTGTTTCATTACAATGCAAATATTCACTAAAATATTAACAGGGTAATGGGGGAGTAAACATGACCCAAATATGTTAAAAAGCATACTTTTTCAATGGTTTGCAATACATCTACCTCTAAGTTATCTTCAAATCAAATTAACTTATTTGGCTTAAAATAATTTAAGACAACAAACTGTACAATTAAAATTCTGCCCTGGTCCAAACAGAAATGATTCTTCTCTTCATCCAAAAGTAAACATAGGAACATTTTATCAATATTATCTTAAAAGAGTTATTTGTAAATATGATAACGCAACCTGCATTAGTAGACAGTGTGCTACACTTAATAATCCTAATAAAAAAAATAAAAGTGTAATAACTGTGAACAAGTCCTGATTCTTACACAGTATCATACTAGAAGATGGGAAATCACAGAATGGAAAGAATTAGACTAGGTAGCTTTTTTTATAATTATTCTTTTATTTTATGTGTATTGTGTGCATATATGTAAAGTGCACCCATGTTGTGAAATGCCTGAGGAGGTCAGAAAAGTGTCAGATTCCTCTGGAACTGGAGTTACCAACAGTTGTTAGCTGCCATGTGGGTGCTGAGAATCAAACCTGGGTCTTCTGCAAGAGCAGCCAGTGCTCTTAACCACTGAGCCATCTCTCCAGTCCCAATATACTAGGCATTTTGTTTCCTGTGTCTGACTGACATAGTTCAAATCTTGGGCTGGACAGAGTAAACCTGCTGTCTCCAGCACTCCTGGGAATGTAACATGGGAGAGGGAGACTAGGGAGGAGTCTTGGGACTTTGAACTCTGCTGTTACTCTGCTTTGTAACCAACAGTGTGCTTCTGGTAAATTTGTTGTGACTCAATATTTTATGGATAAAGACAAAAGAAATCCATTCCTTCCAAGCAATGGGAACCAGGTTTAACCTGCAGTATTTAGTATTTTCACTAGCTATATGAATAGGTGCTATTAGAAGACAGGAGTAGGAACACCATAGCTTTTGAAGTCAGTTTGATTTTCACCTCTACAGCACTGACCAAATGGCTTTCAGCAAATTACTTAAACTGGATACACTTCCATGTTTTCTGTCTGTAATATAGGAATAATACCATCATCTTTGTAGTGCTACTTTTGATATATAATCAGTACACTAAATATATATACATACATACATATATATATATATATATATATATGTATATAAAATATATGGAAAGACAAGCCCTTAAAAGATGCTTTATAAACCTAGGACAATAGCAATTAAGCTCTGTTAAATCATGTATCATGTGAGCAGATGAATGACAGCTTCTAGTTGTATAAAGAAGGAAATCACATGGTAGAAGTGATGATCTCACCATTGCATTTTTCTTTGCTGCTTGTCTTTTTAATCGTCTTCCCTCCCGTCGACAGTCTTTCTTTAAAGCAACTGCAATCTCTTCCCTTACTTCTTCACTGTCCGGTGCTATCACTGCCCCATTGTGGACCATCTGTGAGTTCTGTCTTAGGTATTCCATGAATCCATTCACATCTTCATTTAAGTACTCTTTTTTCTTTTTCTTTTTATGTTTTGCTTGGGGTACATCTTTTTTAAGGGCCAGCCTATTGGCTTCAAGCTGTTGATATTTAGGAGGGCTTTGGTTTGCTCCCTCCACAGACCCCTTTTTCATGTCCTCCCATGATGTTGCAGACAAGGGTCTCTTATTATGTGTGGTAGTAACTCTAGCCCATCTGGTCATGGTTTCATCAGAGGTAGTTTACCAATCTGGAAGATAAGAATTAGTCATCAATACTAAGCATAAAAACTAAAGATATACAGTAAGTCATTATTATGAAATAGGATCATATTTAACCTTTCAAACCATGAACTCTTTACACTTCATCTAGATATCCAACTACACATATGATTATGCTGCACAGATACACCTCTTAAATAAATCCAGCACTTATCAGAGAAACTACCATGCCAGGAGAAGAAAAATGCACTTGCTTAAAAATGGGAAAAATAATGAACAAATGATTTTTCAAAGAACAAATCACATTAAATACTGTGAATACTCCTCCCAATCCTGCAGTTTTCCTGGACATTTCTTTCCCTACCTCTAAGTCCAGGGGGGCTACTTGCCACCCAAGCTTGCCTTAGTCTGCCATTTCAACACAATTTGCAAAGCAAATTAGCAAGAACACAGAAGCCTTGTTCTTTAACATGAAGTTTCTTTGTATTCTTCCAGACAAATTTGTAAATAAAACTGGTAGCATTAACAACTACAAGATACCAATTCTTCCTCTCCAAAAAGGATGGTTACCATTTGCAGTTCAGTGATTTTTAAATAATATCCAGTTACCCCCACTAAAATGCTTCAAATCCCAAATTTCACATTCCCAAATCTTGCTGAATATGTCCTAATATTCAGATACTAAAGTTTCATTTTGGAGTACACATGTATACATATTTTAAAGGAGGAATTTATTCTAAGAATCATTTGGCTCCAACTTAAAACAGAATGTTTTACTTTGCAAGTTAGCCCCTAGCAAGTCGGAGAACTTTTTTCTTTCTCCTCTGCAGTGAATGAGAACACCAATCACAACCAAAAAACCGATTTCAACTACTACGTCGCCACCTTTAGGGGTAGCATGTGTGCGCCAGGCTGTAAAGCTCAGCACCAGCGTCTTCCACTCGGCGGCGCCGGTGTGTGACGCTGCGCGACACTTTTGAGACACTAGTGGCCTACGACGGCCACAGACGGGGGGGGGGAGCGGATCAAGAGGCTGGATCCAGGGGTGGGAGGACGGGGTGTCTGCCGGGCCTGCGGGATGCACCCGCACAGCGGCCGCAGCGCTGTCCCGCGAGCCGGTCCCCAGCAGCCCCGCAACCCACCACGCAGCGTCCCACGCCGGCTCCCTAGGCAGCGGCGGCCCGGTGCTGCGCCACCCGAGCGGGGAGCGATCGGCCAGTCTCCGCCCCGCGCTCCCCGCACCAGTCCCACAGACGCCGCCCGAGCCCACCCCGGGGCCGCAAACTCCACCAGGCTGCGCGCGCGGAATCTTACCCCGCCAGACCCTCCAGAGCAGCCGAGAGAGCGAGCCAGAGAAGCCCAGCCCTCGACGGGGGCGCGGCCATCGTGGCCGGAAGCAGCTCTTCCCCAATAGCGTCACTTCCGGCGGGCCCATCCTCGGGTGGAGCAAGGCAGGCATGAGGGTGTGGGTGACTAAAAGACGCCGGTGTGAGTGTGTGCATCGGACAGTTTGAAGGTAGTCTAGCCTGATGATTGGAATTATCTAATAAATATTTGACCTCTTCTTCCTGCTCTTTATCTTTAGTGCCTCTTCCCTTGTCCCAACTTTCACCGTGTCCCGCCCGAATTACTGCAGCTGGTCTAGGCAAACATTCTGCCTCAGCCCCCTCCATTTTCCGCAAGTGAACATTTGAAAATGTAAATTAGAATGCCAAATCAAAGCCCTCCTGCTTTAAATCCTGCCATCCCATATCACTCCTTTTAAGATGATATTCAAAATCTTTAGCATGTGTGGGGCCGGGTGTTGTGGTCCACGTCTTTCTTCCCAGCACTTGGGAGGCAGAGACAGGCGGATCTCTATGAGTTCGAGGCCAGCTGGGGCTACAGGGAGACCCTGTCTCAAAAAGACCAACCCTCCCCCCACACCCACACGCACACACACTAAATCTTTTGCATGTGTCAAGTTCCTACCAACTAGCCTCACCTTGCCCTTTTGAGTTCGGGGTCTGTCCCCTTTGAGTAAAGGGGTCTTTCCCTATTTTGTTAAATGGCATCCGTGTTTTGCTATTCCCAGGCCTTTATATGTGCTGTAATTTTGTGTAATACCCCGGTTCTTCCAATTGTTTTCTGTTTCAAAGCTTTTAGTATTTTATTCTTTTCTAAGCCTCCCAAAGTCCCACCCCCTCACACTAGGCAGCATGGCAGTTCTGATGACACTTCAAGTCTGTAATTGCATAATGAATTGTCCGGTAAGTGTTACTGTGTCCTGATTGGCACATAGTTGATGCTCATTACCTACATGCAAATTACCTATATTTGTTAGCTGGATAAAGAAGTACTTTGCAAAATGTGTTTAAAGCAAACTAAGAAGTGTCCCAATTTTCTGTAAGAGGAAAGTCAATGACATAAGAATATTGGGGTTTGGTGTGGTAAATGTGATCACAGGCATACTAAAATACAAGAACAGTCCTCCAGCTCTTGGAAACAAAATGAGCTTAAAAGATGCATGGTAATCCTCCTCACACCTTAGTGATCTCAGCCAGGTGGCACCAACCGCCAATCATTAATGTGAGGGTTTACCTTTCTGTGGGTGCCTGGAGCTTAAGCATGCTGTACACCACTAGATGGCGAATTCAACAAAAAGTGTCCTCTGAATATGCTGAATTTTATTGTAGAGCGCCCATTCCTGGAAGTAAAAGGACATCTTAATTTGTTTTGATAAAGATTAGTACAGTAAATAGGTCATACACGAAATCCTTTGAGATTCAGGAGAAAACTGTTGCTATTACTACTAATAATAGCTACTATTTACTGAATATTTTATAGGCACCTAGTACTATGCGTGATACTTTATGTTCATTATCTAACTAATCCACCCAATAGCCTGTGAGGTAGGTCTTGTTATTTTTTCCGTTTAACAATGAGGAAAGAAATCTCAAGGAATTTTGTTTGATGTCACACAACTAGTAAGAAATGGAAGTTCTCAGCCAGGATCTTAGAGCATAGTTGTGTGTTCTGTTTTGAAGCACTAGTTCAAAAACTGTTTTGAGCACTTTGTCCACTTGAACTCACTTCAAAGATACCTTGCTGAGTTATCCCTGCCAATGTAGGACTTAGGAGCTATACTTATTTTGAAATTCAGGAGATTTATCTTTTTTTTTTTTTCCTGATCTTTTTGAGACAGGGTCTCCCTGTAGCCCCAGCTAGCCTGGATTCACTATGGAGACCAGGCTGGCCTTGAACTCACAGAGATCCTCCTGCCTCTGCCTCCCGAGTGCTGGGATTAAAGGCGTGCGCCACCACGCCCGGCTGAGATTTATCTTTTTATTCAGTTTTCCCTTTTATTTATTTATTATTGATAAGGTGTACATTATTTTATAATAAATATAAGGAAGACAAATAGGTGAGGAGCCAAGGGTTTCATTGAATGGCCATATTTCATTTTTAAATTATAAGTCTTAAAAGGGATACATGGTATGAAATAACATGTGGAGTATATAACACATGAAATATGTAAACATATGAAGTAATTCTAAATACCCCAGTGTAAACACCAACCAATTTAGGAAACTGACTACTGCCAGATACTCTTTTTCATTATATTAATGTAATCTTTAGCATGGACAGTATGTTTATGTGTCAAACAAAAAGAGTTTATATGATGATGTAAACTTCCTACAAACGTTCATCCTGATGGTGCTACAAATCCAAACAATGTAAAAACTACCTGAAGATTCATAAAAATAAGTAAACAGTTGATTGTAGAGGGGAGTCAGAATTTACGGAAAGAAGCAGCACATGATTGAGTGTCCTGTCAGTCTGTTCCTCTCAGTTGCTCTCCCACCTGTCAATCCTTTCTGAAAACACCTTCATAGACACACTCCTAAGTGTGCTCTATTAACCCCTGAGGCATCTCCCTGTCTAATTAACAAGATTAACTATGATAACAACAAAATGACCCAGATGTTGGATTTGTTAGACAAGATCTTTAAATAACATATTACATCTGTGCTCAGGGAATGTAAGTAAATGCTCTAAATTGTTTAAACAATATGAAAAATGCTTTAAATGGATTATAAGTTGGGAAATCTTGCTATAGGAATTTATGTGGGTTCTGGGGCTCCAAACTCAGATCTTCATGTTTGCATGCATGGTAAGTGCTTTCCCCGCTAAGCCATCTCCCCAACTCTTTTTGTCTCAGAAAAACAAAGAGTTCAGAATGTACCTCAGTGGTAGAGCACTTGCCTGGTATGCACATACCCCAGAGTTTGATCCAAAACACTGAAAAGTATCATTTTACATTTTGGTAGATACCTATTATTCTTTCCTTAGCACTTGTACCAAGTTATGTATGGAGAAGCAATTTATAAAAGTATTATTTTCTGGGACTGGAGAGATGGCTCAGCGTCCTATCTGTTAAGGCCTATAGAGTCAGGTTTGTGTCCCCAATTGCCCTCCAGCATGGGTTCATCTACTGGAGCCTGGTCACCTATGGAGTCGCACCCTTAAAAGAGACTGAATCTCCACCTCCCAGCATCCAGTAGTTGCCAATAGTTTCTCAGGTAGAGTTTGAGTTAAAGAGTCTTAAACCATGGGTTTTTGATACAGCACATAAGAATTTGCAATCATAAATAAATTCATAGAAATATGTACCTTCAAAATCCTATCTTCTTTTTTTTTACAGATCAATCAAATCTCAGGGAAACGACTGAGGATACAATGCTAAAAAGAGAATTTTGTTACCTAATATACACCACAAGGTCCTTATTTTCACTCAAACTGTTGATTTTCTCTCTCTAACAAGAGTCTTCAGTAGTAATTACATCTTGATTTCAGAAATGGAAAAGGGGTGGGGGTGTATCTGAAGTATCTATCAGGAAAAACCTTGTGGTGGAAGTTGTTTGAGGTTGCTAAGCAATAAAGAATGGAGAAACTATAACGTGTGTTCTCCCCAGAAGTAGTTTGAATCTTTTTCATATCCTTTGCTTTAAAATGACAAAAAAGAGGATTGGAACACGAATCACAAAAGTGATGAGGCCTTCTAACTTCCTCTCACCCTCTTCTGGTGTCTCTCAAATTTAAGTTCCTAATCATGACTCTTAGGAAGTTAGCATGTCAAGTGCTGCAGATGAGTACTTAGACCTACATTTCAAGAAAGCAGCAAGATTTGCAAGCTTTTTTGTATTCTGTGAAATGAGTGCTTCCTCCTGTGTCTGAGGAAATGATAGTTGACATGGACTATCTATTCACTGGGAATAATGGGATTCTAACCTGTAGCTGAAGAAAAAAGTACTTTTTGATCACTGCTCTTTTCCAGTACTTTGTTAGGTGCTAAATATATAAAGTGACAGAGTTCTTGCCTTTAAGCAGCCAGCAGCCTGTGAGGGGAAGACACACAGACTCATAGACTACTAATAATAAATGTTTTATTACAACCAGTGAAAGGTGCACTGATAGTATAGATTTCACATACATTAATTCTCCCTAGAAGATTTTGAAAAATCTGTACAATATGTTTCAGACACCTAGAGAGGGATTAGGGAAATGATGGGGAGGAGCCAGCAAAAGAGTACCCAGTAACACCATCTCCCCCAGCAAGCAGAACTAATATACTGAATGACCCCTGCTTCCTGTAGGCACACACACACACACACACACACACACACACACACACACACACCACACGGCAGGGCAGGGGGGAAGCCAAGAGTTTCTGCTAGTACTTTATAACACAAAGTGGCCACAATATTTAGTACATATAAGTAACTAAGAGGTAACCTATCTAGTTTAAATCTCTGAGTAAAAATAATAATTTATGATTTAGGATGAAATCATTGAAGAGGACCATAAACTAGAGTAAAAGTAGCCTTTCAAAAACTGTAACATAGTAAATAAATGAGAACAGGAAAAGAAGTCCCATAAATATTGAAACAGTCATAGACCAGGAAAATGTACAGAGTTGTATTTATGTACATTCTGGAAGAATCAAAGCATGACAGTGAAGTGTGTGAAGAATCGCATACAGACAACATCCCAGAGGAATCTGTAATCTAGTGGGAAAGGCTGGAATGTTAATAGCACTGTGAAGAGGAAAGGAGGGAGAGTGGATGTGAAGTCATGCCCAAGTGTACCCAGGGCAGCTCAGTAAGGAGGCTACCAACCAGCTTCAAACAGGAACATCAGCTACATTTTGTGCTGTGTTTAGATCTGCAAACAGTAGGTCTTGGAAAATAACTAACCAGATGGAAAGACTTCTGAGGAAGAGGCCCAGTATTTAATGTACATGTATTGCTGTTTTTCCTATATTGGGTATTTGTTTGAGAAACTGTTATTGAGGACAGTGTCCATGGTTATAAAAATGTTGCTTAGTGACACTGAACTTACGTGTAAAAGTGGCTAAGATGGTAAATGTGATCCTA